CCTCCGCAGAGGATCAAAATTGTGATGGCATGTCTTCGGATCATCCTCCGGGATGTTTCCCAGACCGTCGCCAATAGCCCATTGTGCAGCTCTAGTGCGACGTAAATTAACAACAACAACAAAATTATGTTAGAAACTAAAGTATTTCTTACTCTTATGGCTCTCCACATGTTAATGGAGAAATCATGTCTAGTGTTGCCATAGGCAAAAGTTCCGCAGTAAGCCACCTGTAGCGCTTTTCGACCTGTAGCCAATATTAATCTCGATTATTCAAAATTTTTTTAGTGCTCGACTTCGTGTGCAGGTCGTCGGGCTATCGAAGCAGGGGTGCCATCCCCTCTGCAGAGGATCAAAATTGTGATGGCATGTTTTCGGATCATCCTCAGGGATGTTTCCCAGGCCGTCGCCAATAGCCCATTATGCAGCTCTAGTGCGACGTAAATGAACTACATTAACAACAACTCAATTTTTTTAATTCTAAAACTCAAATTTATACTTTTGAAACTATGTCACAAATGAATATAATCGAATAAGCACATAATTTAACCATAAAGTAATGATTATATAGAATTAATCATTATTACTGCATTTTTTTAAAAAATTTAGTTCTAAACCGTAGTAGGTGAAATTTTGGTGATATAGTTCCTTTCTTTCTTTGTTTATTTAAGTTGTATTTTTTACTCTCTATAATTCTTTTGAAAGAATAAAATCTTCAATATTGTTTTTTAATTTCAGCAGCTTGATTTAAACCCATTTTAGAAGAATTATAGGAATTTTATAAAATGCTGTATTATTTCATTAAAATATGAATAAATTACATCTATAAGACACAAAAGTATAGTGCATGAAAAATAATACTTCATTTAAGAAATAAAATGATACGCATATGCACGATTGGCCAAATCAATAAACAAACGATTTTGTTGAACACTAGTTTTTTTTTAAATGTCAAAAATGACGCCATGCAATGGGTATCAGCGCACTGTGGACTTCAAGGTAACGAAACTGCAGATTTCTTGGCCAAAAATCCCGCCAAGATTCTACAAATATCTCTTTAGCCAGTTCCTTTCTACATCGCAAAAAAGGCTAATAAAAATCTCTCTTCGAACAACCTTTGAGGCAAAACTCCAAGAAGAAAATAAAGATAAGGACTGGCTGGAAGGAATTAAAGATATTCCGTCATGGTCAAGAGAAAAATCTGTGGCCCTTTTTCGCCTTGCCACTGGCCATGACTGTTTATCAAAACACCTGTACAGAATCAATATCTTTTCAAGCCCCTTTTGTCCATTATGTAACCTGCAAAAAGAAATGGATACTAACCATCTGAGACGTTGCCCTGCACTTCCTCCTGGGCCCTTCTGGGAACGTTATTGGCTGGCGAGATACATTATTAATGACTATAGACTCTTTGTTTTTGCAGCTCTTGTTTCCGTTTTTTGTTCTTTCTTTGTATTGTTCTCAGCAATTAATTTGTCTTTCATATCTGCCATTAGAACCGCCGGGGTTGAAATATTAATTTCAACAAATAATAATCAAATAGAAACAAATAAAATTATATGTAATGTTAGCACAATTTAAACTAATAAAATGCACAAATAGTTATAAAAGTACAACAAATAAACAAAGTTTCAGTTTTCCAAATTATACAAAGTTCAGTTTTACTAATGATACAAAATTAATTCTCAATAGGTAAGACAGCAATTTTTGAAATTGCTCTTTTATAAACACCATTTTTTGTTTTTACTGAAACAACTCTTACACGGTTATCCTTTCCACAAAATATATCAATAATTCTACCTAATAGCCATTTACATGTAGGAAGGTTTTCTTCCTTGAGTACTACCATATCTCCTATTTTAACATTTTGTTTTATAAACATCCATTTGTTTCTCTGCATCAATGTGCTCAGATAATTATTAGTCCAATTTTTCCATATATTTTGAACCATTTGAGTAGTTTTTGCCATAAATTAAGTCTATTATTATCTATATCTAATAAGTTAGGTTCAATAATTGCATTTATTGGTCGACCTATAAGAAAATGACCAGGAGTTAACACATTTAAGTCATCAATGTTAGAAGTTAATGCTGTTAGGGGGCGAGAATTTTAAAATTCCCTCAACCTGAGTAATAATGGTTAAAAATTCTTCGTAAGTTAATGTCGCATTTCCAATTGTTCGCTTTAAATGAAATTTTAAGGATTTTACTCCTGCTTCCGATCGACCATTAAAATTCGGTGCTCTAGGAGGAATACATTTCCATTGTACATTTTCTTCTGCTAGAAAATTGGGTAAAATATTGTTATGTTTAATAAAAATATTCATTAATTTTTAATTTCGGAATTTGCACTTACGAAATTTTAGCGTTATCACTAAATATTTTTTGTGGTTTGCCTCGTCGGGCAAAAAAACCTCTTTAAGAAAAGTAATACTTGCTTCTGCTGTTAAATCGTTAATTATCTCCAGATGGATTTCTTTCGTTACTGTACAAACAAAAATATAAACGTATATTTTGTGATAGTTACCTTTACGTTGGCCTTTGTATCTAATAAAAAATGGGCCACAATAATCAATAGAACAAGAATTAAATGTAAAATTAACATTTATTCTTTCACTAGGTAACTCACCCATTATTTGTTGAGAAATTAACGGATTTGCTTTAAAACGAATAATGCATTTATGAACAATTTTTCTAGCTATATTTCTGCCATTTAGTAGCCAATAAATTTGTCTAACAGCATTTAGCAACGCTTGCGGACCATTATGAAAGTTCTTAATATGATAATAATTAAAAATAAATTCAGTTATCTTATTCTTAGCTGGAAAAATAATAGGATGCTTTTGATTAAAACTTAAGTTTGAGTTTGTTATTCTACCGCCAACTCTAATTAAACCTTTTTCATCTAAAAATGGATCGAAATATTTACTTTTTGGAGTCAGTAGCAAACCTTTTTTCAACATACAAATTTCTTCTGAAAAATACCTACTTTGTATAAGTTTAAGAAGATGATTTCTAGCGTTTTCCATTTTATCTATGGTTATAGTACCTGGATTCCTACAATTGTAAGAGAACCTAAAAAGTAAACTAAAAATTCTTATCAGTTTTAGAAAATTATTTGTAACACTTAGGCATTTAGCAATAAATGAGTCGTTGTTGTTGTTAATTTACGTCGCACTAGAGCTGCACAATAGGCTATTGGCGACAGTCTGGGAAACATCCCGGAGGATGATTCGAAGACATGCCATCGCAACTTTGATCCTCTGCGGAGGGGATGGCACCCCCGCATCGGTAGTCCGACGACCTGCGCGCGAAGTCGAGCACTTTACGGTAGCACAGTTTAACGAGGCACGCTCGGTCCCCAAGCAGACTGATCCAAGTGGTCACCCATCCGCACACTGACCGCAGCCAGTGATGCTTGACTTCGGTGATCTGCTGGGAACCGTGTCTTAACGGTCAGTCCACTGCGGGACCAATAAATAAGTCATTTTTTATAGTCATTAATGAAGTCGCTATTGGTTTCAGTTCGGTAGAAAAGAGTTCATCACTGAAGAGAGTTTCATCTTGAAAATTTTCCTTATTTAGGAAATTGGGACCTGTCCACCATAATTTATTGGATCTGTAGCGATTCCCTTCTGGAAGATCTATTTTTAGATCAAGCCCCCAAATTATGCCTCTTCAGCCTACCCTGAGAGGCCGGGATTAAGGTTTTTACATCATTCCAGTGAGTATCCCCTCAGCGAGCAGTCGCACAAAACTTGTTACTTGTTACGTTTAAATAAATTTATATTAAGTTTTAAATCGTCATCCTTGTTCTCACCACACATTGGAGTCCTCATTAATTAGTGATTAGAGGAAATAAAATTACACCTTGAAACCTCTAAAGATCCAAGGGTCGTAGCATCTGAGCCTCTGGAAATGATATCTGCAGGGTTCATTTCTGAATATACGTGTCCCCAATTACAATTAGACGTAAGTTGTCGAATTTGTGAGACTCTATTACTCACAAAGGTTTTTAAAAGATGAGGCGAAGTATTAATCCACGCTAACGCAATAGTTGAATCTGACCAGAGTTTGATATGATCAAATTTAAGCTTCATAGCCTCTAAAACCTTTTTCACAAGTTTTGAAAGGAGTAGACTTGCAGACAGTTCCAATACAGGAATAGTCATAGTCTTGATTGGTGCTACACGTGGCTTGCTGCAAAGAATCTCCCTGAAAGATTCATCAGGATCTGCAACTGTCTGTAAGTAAATTACAGCTCCAAATGCTTTTTCTGAGGCGTCTGCAAAACTATGCAGAATAAGTGCGGAAAATGTCTCCTTCAAAACGCAACTAGGTACTTGAATAGTTTCTATACTATGAAGTGCTTTAATGAACAAAGTCCATTCTTGGGCAATAGGGGATGGTAATTTTTCGTTCCAGTATAGCTTGTGCAACCAAAGCCGTTGCATAAAAGTCTTCGCTTTGCTGATGACTGGACCAAGTAGACCAAGAGGATCATACAAACGAGCAATTTGAGATAAAACATCTCTTTTAGCAACACCTGATTTTTCCGTAACTGCAACCTTGTAGAGAAATGTATCCCTTTTGTTATTCCATAGAGTCCCTAAAGTCTTCACTGCTGCATTACTGTTACGATCAAACGAAAAGTCTCCCAATTCTGTGTCTTTTGAATCAAAACTAGTACACCATTTGTGTAATTTCATTCCTCCTCTTTTAAGTAGTTGTGTTAAATCTTGCTGAAGCTTAATAGTACATTAATTTAAATTAGAAGTACCGGTAATACAATCACCCATATAAAATTCTTCTATAACAACTTTCGATGCCAAAGGAAAATCCTTCTCTTCATCTTTTGCTAATTGTTGAAGAGTCTTCTGTGCCAAGTAAGGAGCACATGCTGTGCCATATGTTACGGTTTTAAGTCTGTAGGATTCAGGTTTACTTTCGTGATTTTCCGGAGTATTTTTAGAAATTTGGTTTGTGAAGGCAGTATTTCAATTTGTCTAAACATTTTCTCAATATCTGCGGTGAAGTCATAGATATGTTTTCTAAATCGAAGCATAAGAGAGAACAGTTCATCTTGTATCACTCCTCCCTTGCATAATAAATCATTCAAGGAACAGCCATTTGTAGTTTTGGCGCTTGCATCAAATACCACTCTAAGTTTAGTTGTTTTGCTGTCTGGTTTTAAGACACCATGATGAGGAAGGAAATATCCAAAACTGTCATCAAAATCAGAATTGTCTTCTATCCTTTCCATATGGTTCAAAAGTTCATATTCCTTTAAAAACGAAACATACAATTCTTTCATTGCAGGATTACTTGACAAACGTTTCCATAATTTATTAAGTCTTTTTTCAGCAATTTGTTTTGAATCTCTCAACGGTATGTTTTCACTAATATCCTTCTTAAATGGCATCTTAACTTCATATTTCCCATTAGTCTTTTGATAAAACGAATTTTCAAAAAGTTCGTTGCAATAATTTAATTCTGAACTGACGGCAGTTTTTGTTTCGTTTACATCTTCAACTTCCCAAAAAGAATTCAATTTTCAATAAAGTATATAAATAATTCAAAAAAGAATTTTAGCGAATTAACTTCAGTTGACAAAAAACAACGATAAAAATCTTTAGCTTCATTACTCGAAATTCTAATGCTTCCTGAAATCAAATATCCGAAACAACTATTTTGAAGCAATAATTCATTATCTGCTAAACGTATTTTATCATTCTTCAAAAAATCAAAAAATAATTCAGCATCCAATAACAAATCCACTTTTTTCGCTATATAAAATTCGTCATCAGCTAATTTGATCCCTTTAGGAAGTCGAAATATTAATTGACTTGGGGGGCATCATGTCAGTTATTTTGGGAACAATAAGTAACTCAACTTCCCATTCCGAATCATTTTCTGAATTCGACAATCGAGTTTTGAATTGCTATTTTACATCCAGAGAAACATCACTGATTCCACTAACTGGAACAAAAACCTTTTCTTTTTTTAATCCTAATACATTCATGACAATTTTTACAATTTTTACAAAAATTGCAAGATGAAGCAGAATCAAGAACAGCTCGAAACTGTTTCAAATTACTACAGGCATCGCGAAAATAAACAACTGCAGTATTTATGAATACTAATTTATTACTCTTTCTTGACGCAATCCTAGTTGTGAGTGGGGGAGCAGGGGATTGTTCGAATTCGTTGGACGAAGAATTATTGTTCAAGGCTACTTCTCCTTCTTTCAAAGTTTTACTTTCGATTTTATGCAATAGTAAATGGTGAGAATCTTTTTTACAGATAAAACAAACTAAGCTTTACACACACTGAGCTAATAAGTGCGTTTGAGAAAGGCATTTAATGCAGAGTTTGTTTTCTTTTACAAAATTAAATCTCTCCGAAACTGGTAAGCTTTTGAATTTTGGGCAATGATAAATAGGATGTGTTTCGTTACACAAAATACAGTTTCGATAAGTATTGGTTTTGGTGAAGAAAGTTTTTGAATTTTTAGGACGATTAAATTGATTTGATAGTTTAACAACATAGTTCTGTTTTGGGAAACTATTTTTATTTATTTCTTCAAGAATTCGAATTCTTTCTTCCAAAAAATTTAAAAAAATCATCTAATCTAGATTTTACACTTATTTCAAAAGCTTTTCTTGATTCTTAATCGAATTTATGTAATAAATATTTAAAATTAAAACATCTGACAAATTAAAACGATCGAATTCTAGTAATGATCGTAAGCATTTTTTTACATTGTCAACTAATGCCCGTAATAGTGATGGTGAATCGTTAATTTTTTCAAAATTTAATAAGCTATTGATAAAAGCATCCACAACTGCTCTCTTATTCTCATACCTGCTATTAAGTGCAGAAAACAAAGATTCAAACGTGTCTTGACAAGATTCCAACAATTTTGCTTCTCCTTTAAGAGATGCTTTGAGATAAAATAGTTTTTGTGTATCATTCAATTCTTCATTGTTACCGACAGAGCCGGATTATACCTTTCGTAGGCCCTAGGCACAGAGCCGGATTATACCTTTCGTAGGCCCTAGGCATAGCCGTTTTTGGGCCCCCATTTACTAAAATTT